AATGTATACTACTCTGGTGACAAGGACACTGAAAGCCTCAACCTCAATATTATACAGTTCATCCATCTAACAAAAACAGTTGTGTCTTCTAATATTTTCAAACAAAAATATTAAAAAGTAAATAAAATTCATAGCAATAACTTAAAGTGTAAATGTCCATGAGCCCGTGCTGATATACATAAATTAATACATTAAAAAATAGGGGAGAATAGACAAATCTCCCATGCAAAAGGATTTCAAATAGTTTATGTTGATACTTTGGCCTCAGGGATGTGATATGTGACTCTCCCCTCCTTAAATATGAGAAGAGGAGAAGAAGAGTAATTTTACTTGGAAACACCTGACAAACACTACCTCAGCCATGTAATCGAGGCGATATCAGTAATGATAAGTCATGTTAATAGTATGTGTTCCTGAGATGATATGATGAAAATGGAACATTTCCTCTGTGATCTTTACCCCAGTCTAATCATGAGAAAAACATCTGAGCAATCCCAATTGAGGGACATTCTACAAAATCTCTGACCGATATTTCTCAAAATTGTCAAGGTCCCCAAAAATAAGGAAAGTCCGAGAAACTGTATCAGCCAAGAGGAGCCTAAGAGACGTGACAGCTAACTGTAATGGATATCCTGGATGGGATGTTGGGACAGGAAAAGAACATTAGTTAAAAGCCAAGGAAATCCGAATCAAGTATGGACTTCAGTTAAGAATAATGGACCAATATCGGTTCTTTCATGATAACAAATATGCCATAGTGATAATAGATGTCAATAATAGGAGAAACTGGGTTTGGAGTATATGGGAACTCATGGTATTAACATTATCTTCACAATTTTTCTATAAATCTAAAACCGTTCTAAAATAAAAAGTTTTAAAGGGTACAAATTTGCAGTTAGGTAGAATGAATAAATCTAGAGATCTAATGTACAGCATGAGGGCTATAATTAATAATATTTTATTGCATACTGAAAATTTGTGAAGAGATTTTAGGTGCTCTTACCACACATGTACACACACACACACACACACACACACACACTGATGTTAGTGTTTCTGAAGGCAACACTAAAGCAGGAGAACATGCTGTATCTCTGAGAAAAGTATAATAAAGATAATAAAGACAACTAATTCCTCTCCTTTAACAGTAAACTCATGTTTGTTTATATTAGATTATCTATTAGTACCTGACTTTTTATATATTTTTATCAGACAAATATCAAATGGAGGATCCATGGGAGAATGTGAAATAAAGTGAGCAATGCAAAAGAAAAAAGCCTCTGCTAAATCCTTGAATTAATTTTTCAAAATTTATGTATCTCAGGGGCAAGGAAACCATTCCTTCCCAAGATTGTTCCTTTTTCCCTCTCCATTGCTATTGCTACTATGAAGTTTTGATTCTTCTCTTCTCATGTGTATGATAATGCAGAAAGTGTCTGATTGATCTGTCTGCTTTCTCTTCCCTCCAGTTCATTAAAACCCAAAAGACAAATTTATATTTCAGATCGGTTTGATATCTTATTCCCGAGATCAAAACCACAAATACCTAAAGAAAATGGTTCCAACACCAATGTTCGTTATAATTGAATGCCAACCCACCTATCCAACCATATCTCCCACTTCATCTCAATATCGCATGAATCATGTATGATAGTGTTCTTATTTATTATTATTCCCTTGATCTTGCTTTTTATTTCTTTTTCACATTTTTTCCTTGCTTATCCCAGTTCTCAGTCTCATAATGCTGGTCTCAATTTTAGCAAACCACAATCCTGCATCTTCCTCTGATGCCTCTGATATTCACCCACCTAAGAACTCAGTTTTCATGAACTGTAACCTTCATTCAGTTATAATTATGGACTGGTGTGGGACATTGCCCTGTAGAATTTATTTATCTGCTCTTGTGATGTTTAATTTCTTTCATGGCACAATGACCTTCATTGCATGCATTTGAGTTACTTAAGGTTTGGCACCATTCTTGGTTCCTCTTTACCCCCTGCATCTAGAACAATCCTTGGACTATCGTAGACATTTACTAAATAACCTTGAATGAACACAGAAATAATGAAATAGATTTATGTGTTACTTCTCTACGTAGACTACAAATTCCTTAAAACACTAGGTCTATTTTTGTGATCTGTGAAAGAACTGAAATGTGCCTTATAAATAGGAGATTGCCAATAAATATAGGTCTACTTTTAAAAACCTAACAAAGCATTCTGGAGACTTCATCACTTTCTGTCAGAACCTGGCTCTCCCACTGTATGCCAGGCCATCTGCTGCACTTTGCCCTTCCTTAACCATTAACCTTCCTTCTCTCTTCTCAGACATGCTTTACATTAGTTTCCTATTGATATCATAAGGAATTATGACACATTAGGGACTTAAAACAACACAAATGTATTATCTTACAGTTCTCTAGTTCAGAAGTTCCAAATGAGTCTCCCTGGGCTAAAATCAGGAGGTAGCTCTGTTCCTTTCTGGAGCCTCTAGGGTAAAATCCATTTCTGTGCCTTTTCTCACTTTTGGAGGCTGCCCACATGGCCCCTTCCCTGCATCGTGGGAGCCAACAAATGCATCTCCTTGACCTTGCTTCTGTCACCCCATCTCCTTCTTGGATTCTGATTCTGACTCTCTCTTCCCATGAAAGGACCCCTGCGGATGACATTGGACCCATGCCCACAATTCAGGATCACCACCTAATTTTAACATCACATGATTAGCAAACTTAATTCCAGCCACAACCTTAGTTTCCCTTTGCCATGTAGCAAGGCATATTCACAGATTCTGAGGATTAGGATGTGGACATCTTTGAAGGGGGCATGATTCTTCCTACGATACCTTGGATGTTAGCAGGAGGGGTCTTTGTGATCCAGGCAGGTGTTACAGCTCTTCCTCAAGTCCTTGATTGTGCAGCCAAAATAATATTCCTCTCCCCTTGAACCCCTGAACTGATCATAGTCTTCAATTGTATTTGTTGCAGACAGCAATGGCTTTGGGGGTTAATGCACATAATGAAACACATTTCTCTCCCCTGAGGCAAAGAAAAAGCTGTCTGAACTTTTAGAAGCTAGTGTTCCTGATTCAGATGTGGTTAGTATGAACTTTGTCTCATCTTGTCCTTCCTGATTCCCTCCTAATGGGAATCCTACTCTGAGGGAATATCTGGTGACTAAGCAGAGGCCAACAGGTGACTCTGATCGCCTCTCAGTTTACGCACACAATTCTCATCAGTGGGAAGGTGGGGACTATAAAAGCTAATAACAGACAATTGTATAATTGTTATAATAACTGCTTTTCCATGCAAAGCAAAGTAAAATAAAACATGCTTCTATGCCAGTAGCTTTGCATAGTCGTTAGTCCCTCAGAATTATTAATTCTGATATTTTAGAGTATTTTTCTATAGTTCAGGAATTACATACATGATGAAAACTGGCCTTTATTTTTTTGGACAGGACCAGAAATCTTCTACTCTCAACCTGGAACAGACGCAGTTTGGATATTTTAAAGAAGGAGTATAGCAGTTCTGTCTCCTAGCCCTATTTCACCGACTCCTTTACAAGTGATATTCAGACCATTTTCCGCAGTTGACAGATTCTCCCTCGGACTTTGACCTTTGTCCTTCCCAGCACAAGGCCCTGTGTGTGAATGTGCACGTGATTTTGCTCTGGCAGGGGCCATGAGCCTATTGAGGCAAGCACAAGAAGAGGGTCCTGGAAGAGCAGGATTCTGCTGAGTCCTGTCCATGCCATGGAGGTCTGCGCTGTAGAAGTTCATTCCTTTGTCTCCTTGTCTTACTTTTTGTTTAAAGACATCGTCATAAAAAGTGATGTTTTAGTCCATTTTGGTTGCCATAACAAAATTAGCTTAGGCTGGGCAATCTATAAGTCACAGAAATTTATTTCTCACAGTTCTGGAAGCTGGGGAGTCTAAGATTAAGCCATCTGAAGATTTGGTGTCTGGTGAGGGGTCTCTCTCTGCTTCCAAGATGGCACCTCTTGCTGCCTTCCCACATGGCTGAAGCCTGAGGCAGCTGCCTTCAACTTCTTTTATAAGGACACTACTCCCATCTATGAGGGGGGAATCCCTCATGACTTAATCACGTCCCAAAACACCCCGCCTTTTACTATAACTAGGTTCCAACATATGAATTTGGGGCAAAACCAATATCCAGACCATAGCAATGGTTTTAATTTCACATCTTCTAAAACTTACAGAATATGAAACGAGAATGGGTAATAAGTTGTCAATTTGGTCTAATACCATCATTCTGAAAAACCTTCAGACTAAAAAAGAACACTTAACTGAGGTAACCAGGGAAACGGGTGGCAAAGACAGATACTCAGGCTCATATATGTGATTTTCTCTGCAATGGGAGAGAAAGTGTTACTCTTTTTTCCTAGTGTTTTTTCTCCTTAAGGCATGTTTTCCTCTCTGCCAGTGATCTGTCAAGATATATGGACTAAATATTAAATGGAAAGTCTTAAAATGTTTAGAGTCTCCTATAAACTATGTTTTCCACATTTGTATATTTTAATTATTTTTACGATGTAAGGGACTTTATAGAAAAAGAGAAATTCTTGCAATTTTTAAATGAAACATTTATTTGATTTTAACTCATTTTTTCCCAAGAGTTATATAAACTTAGATAAAAAGATAACTTATTTTTGGCTGATTATCTTATTTTTGACTACTTTTACCCAGCAACTCAGCAATATTTCTTAAGACTGACTGTGTAAAATTCTTTCAAGTTGTAAAACTAGAAATTTTAAACTTTCACTCTTTCAAGAAATAGACTCTGTTTTCTTCCTGGACACACAAGACATGAGAAAAGTAACCTGTTGTAGAGGACCTAAACAATACCTCAGGTCTGTAACCATAAACAGAAAACTGACTTTTCAAGCCCTTGTGTGAAGTTAGTTATCAAAATAAAATATTGCGTTTTATTATAGTTCCTGAGTATTTACCATAAAATATATTGACCAGAATGCTTTTGTAGTTTTTATAATCTCAAAATTTACTACATGCAGAAAATATTGTAATGTGTCCATTAAAGTGGTCTGTTGAAGCCATCCTTTCTTTTCTCTAATGTTCCTCAGTTGAGGCCTGTATAAAAGAAATACATGTATTCATCATTCATAGGCTTAATTACATCTGATGAGTTTTTTACATCTGATGAGTTAATTACATCTGATGAGTCTCACTCTGTCACCCTGGGTAGAGTGCTGTGGCATCAACATAGCTCACTACAACCTCGAACTCCTGGGCTCAAGCGATCCTCCTGAGTAGCTGTGACTACAGATGCCTGCCAGCACCCCCAGATAATTTTTCTATTATTTAGTAGGGATGATCTTGCTCTTGTTCAGGCTGGTCTCAAACTCCTGAGCTCAAGGCATCCTCCCACCTTGGCTTCCCAGAGGAGGATTACAGGTGCTAGGATTACAGGTGTGAGCCACCACACCCAGCCCAGCTTTTACCTTTTTCTCCTCTTTGTCTCTCTGCTTGCTTCTTCATGGTGACATTTTGTTACTTTTCCAGCCTTGCCTTTATTTAGATAGGCATTGGCAAACTGTAGCCCACAGGTCAAATCCAGCCCGTGGCGTGTTTTTGTACAGCCTATGAGTTAAGAATGGTTTTTACATTTTAAAATTGATTTGAAATAAGTCAAAAGAAAAAGAATATTTGTGATAAAAAATTATATGAAGATCAAATATTCAAAACAAATAAGGTTTCATTGGAACACAGTCATGCCTTATTTATATATCGTCCCTAGCTGATTTCCTGCTACAGGGTAGAGTTGAATAGTTGCAGTATTGGCTGTACAGACTGCAAAGATGACAACAGTTACTATCTGGCCTTTTATAGGAAATGTTTGATGATTCTCAATTTAGGCCATTTGATTCTGATACCAATCTGGTTACTCTTCCTACATCCTTAAATTATGCTCTGTTTTCCCATAGTTTGTTTTATAATTCAGCTATATCTATAATTTCCAGCACTGAATCTAAGATCCTTTCACCTGGAAGGACTTTGGAACTCCCTCACTCGTTTATGATATCCAGTGGTCATCTTGGAAGATGGGCGTATGTATTTATCAAGAGGGAATTCATGGGGGAGAGGGGAGCAAGGGCATTTTTTGAAACCTTAAAATTTGTAACCCTATAAAATGCTGAAAAATAAATAAATAAATATTAAAACAAAAAAAAGAGAGAAGGAATTCATATTTCTTGATAAAGTGAATGACGAGACCGAGAAATAAAGCGTGAGTACCACTATCTCAGAGACAGATATATACATTGTTATGTATCTAGTAAACTTTGCAAGAACTCAGGGAAAATTGATGACTAAAGAGACACATTCAGGGAGTCATTGACAAACAAGTGACAAAAGAAGACTTGACAAAAATATCACTAAAACCCAAGAATTTATACTCTAAAATTGAGTATTTACTGTACACTCCAGAACAGATATTCTTTCCACACTCCGGTGCTTGCCTGCAAAGGCTGACGACATCATTTGTCATTTTCTGAAAGTAAAATGATGATTCTGGCTGCTATTTGTCTACACTGATGCCTCTTTTTGCCAGGAATAGTGAGGGTGGAGAGAGAAACACTGGGCGGAAGTGAAGAAGGAGGCATAAGAAGGGAAGCTTAGACTCTTCTGGGCACGTTCCTAAGCTCGATGATGACTGAATAGAGAGCAATTTTTTACCATCTCCAGTAAGTCTTTTCCAATGTTAAAGTAAATGCCAGGCTGGTGGCAACCTAATCCAGTGCCACCTTCCCAGGTCCTTGTGATCCTGTGACCCACTTTATCAAAGACAAAATCATGAGCTTCCTCCTGAATACAAAGCCGGCATCTTAGACTTCCCTCTGCCCCTCCATCAGGTTATGAGTCTTTATTAGAACTGTGAGCAACTTGAGGCCATGGTTGTCATTTTATTCTTATCTGTATTTCACACTCACCCTAGTCCCCAGCTTGGCACACAGCAATGGTACCAAAGGCCTAAATGAATGAATTGTCTGGTTTATCTGCATGCTGGGAAACCACTAGTTTGTTCCCTTGATTGATAAATAATTCCCTTTTTTCCTGGATTTTCAACCTTTGTTTCTGTTTTATTTTCCCAGGAATAATGTATTATAATCTTCCATATCATTAAAAAAAATCCCTTTTGCATCTTATATTTGCCATTTAGACACTCTCTCCTCCCAGTTTCTTCCCAAATCCCCACCTTTCTTATGAAGACTGAACAACAATCGAATGCCAGTGTGCAAACTTCCTCATCTATTATTATCTGGGTTCCACCATTTCTTGGTCCAAATCTCATGTCTTCAGAATTTCCTCTTTCCCTTTATATTGGCTGTATTTCTCTTTTTAAGTTTGTTTTTTGTTATTTATTTTATATAAGTTCATGACATTAACTCTTTAAAAATCAAAATTTTATTTTACTGAAGTGATATGTAGACATGAGTGAAGAAAATATAAATAGTTTTATAAGACTCATAATGAAAAACAATAGTTATTCCAGATCCTAGATCGTTACTGCTCCTCAGAAGAAACAACTTATAACCCCTTCGGATGTTTCCTATGGTATTTAGTTCCTCTATATTTATGAATAATGAGCATGTTTGTGTGCATGGCCATTTCTCAGTTTTTTAATTTTGATATTACCTATTGGATCTGTACTCTGAAAAATGAGGCATTAGATCTTTTATCTTATTTACACATGTATTTCCTCATTTTTCATCTTCCCAACATAGTTATATCACAATTTTTGGTATTTATTTATTACTAGAACATAGAACATTTTATTCTAATGTAATCTCACATTACTTGCCAGAAATTGAAATTTTCTTTCAATATGTTCAAACAAATCAATTAATTTTTCAGTCGCATTATTTTTCTTAAAGACATGTCTTGGAGCCATCAGTTCTTCTGTTCTAACTTGTACTGATTGTTCTCTAGGCTGTCTGGGAAGGAAAGTGTTAACAGCAGGTCTGTAACTTTAACCGCCCATCTCAGAGACACCTGGGACAAGATTGACCTTCCTTAGATAGAAACACCTTGAAATAATGCCTGAAATATAAATATAGCTAAAAGATACATGAAGATTCTGGAGGAATTACTATATATTCATTACTGACCTAGGAATGCTTTCAACAGGATCTACCTAGAATTTTCATTATAAATAAACCTGCAATTTATAGATTAATGGGCTACAGCTGCACTGAGTAATGGGAATTAGTCATGTAGTCAAAATACAGCTAAATGATAAACAAGGTTTATAAACTGAAAGACCCCAAAACTTAGCCGTTTCTCTGTGCTAGCTTTCTTCAAATGCAGTTTGCACTTGTTCCAACACAACCAAAATGGGTAAGAGGCACAGGAAGTTGAGTCTTACGAACTTGGGGACACCCAGGTATTGACAAGATACAGCCTCTGCTTCCCTTCTTGTGTTCTTTTTTCAATCATTACTAACACCTGTGTTTCCTATGAGTTTGATTAGCCATCTGGGTCTTTGTAATCAGGCACTGCTACACAGCCAATATTCTGTTCACTCCATCAGTGGGAATTCTCCTCATCTCTCTACTGTGCTGAATTCCAGTTTCTGTATTCTCATGTATTTCTCCTGCTCATGTATTTCTCAAGGTTACTCCCTTGTTTTGTTTAAAAGCATGGAATCTGGAGATAGATTTTCTGGGCTTGAGTCTAGCTGTTACTTAATAGGTGTTTAATTATGGGCATATGACTGTTTTGGGTTTTTTTGTTTGTTTGTTTTGCAAGACAGTCTCACTCTGTTGCCCAGGCATTAGCCTAGCTCACAGCAACCTCAAACTCCTGGGCTCAGGCAATCCTTCTGCCTCAGCCTCCTGAGTAGCTGGGACTACAGGCATGTGCCACCATGCCTGGCTAATGTTTTCTATATATTTTTAGTTGTCCAGCTAATTTCTTTCTATTTTTAGTAGAGACGGGATCTCGCTCTTGCTCAGGCTGGTCTCGAACTCCTGAACTCAAACGATCCGCCCACCTTGGCCTCCCAGAGTGCTAGGATTAACAAGCGTGAGCCACCGCACCTGGCCATGACTTAATTTCTCTAGTCTCACTCAAATCCTTTCATCTGTAAATTGGAGATAGTAAAATCTATTATGATTTTCCATCATAATAGAGTATTATTAGGTCATTATATAGGAAATGTCCGATTTTGAATTCGAAGTTTAGTTTATTATTGTATCTCAAACAAGAAGCAGTGCCAATAATCAAAGTATATGCCTAACTATCGACACAGTTTTGCCATCTTCACAGTAGCTGCCTCATGCCACCCTGGTGGTACCTCAGGAGATATCAGAGGTAACTGCAACTTTTCAGGTTTCCCTGCTTGACTAGAAGTGTTCATTCTCTCTTTTCCTCACCCTACCTGTTCTTGGTTTTGATCTCACGCTTTCCCCAGACTTCGATGGCCACACGCATATGGTTGACTTCTGATTCTAGTACTTGTTAGGGACAGGTGCAGGTTGGCAGCGCTAATTGCAGGAAAAGAGGAGAAGGGAGAAAATGAGGAGGCCAGTGAGCATTTAGAACCCAACCCACAACAGTAGGAACTTGAGGTTAGGGACTTTTCCTGGCCAGCATGTGGAGTTCAGGTCCAAAGGTAATCTTATCCACATTAACATATATTAGCATAGTAAAAATCACACCTATCAGCACCAGGACAATTCACGGTTGCCATGGCAACCCTTGGAGGTTACCCTATAAGGATAAAATTGGGAAGGGTCCTTAGTTCTAAGAACCATCCACCCTTTTTCCAGAGAAATAATGAATATTCCACTCAACATTTAGCGTATCATAAGGTGTAGACATGAACGTAGAGGTGTGGTAGGACCCCAATGTCTTCCCCACCATGGAGTTAGACCTGTTTCCCCTCAGGAACCATACTTTGGCTTTCTGTTTCTATACTGAGAAGCCTGCCGTAAAAGCTTCTTGTGTGGAAATGCTAGTGTCTATCACCTCTCAGTGGCACAAGCCAGGAGCCAAAGAACCAGGGCGACACCCCTCAAAAGAATCACCCCTGACATACTCTAGCCTTGACCTCTCCAAATTTCTATTCTTATGTTTCAACTCCCTTCAGCAGGGCTTGGCCTGAGTGAACCATAGATACCTCAAATTCATTTTGACCAAAACAGAACCCATGGTTTTACTTTACCAGTGCAGAAAATTGACAGATATTTGACTCATTCAACTCCCTTGTTACTCCTTATTTTAATCCATTACCAAATCCTGTGAATTCTGCCCCCAGGATTTTTAGCAAACTTGACTTCTTTCCACTCCTATTTCTCTGCTTTGGACCTCGGCAATCAAAATGGCCTCCTACGCTTCCAGACGATTCTAAAAAACATCTGTCATGTTTTGATTACTTTAACTTTACCATTATGGTAAGATCTAATTCAAACTTCTTTTTAAAAATTTTTATTTATTTTTTAATTTTTATATTTTTTTAAATTTCAGCATATTAAGAGGCTACAGATGTGTTTGTTACATGGATCACTTTTATAATGCTTGAGTCACAGCTATAAGGGTGCCCATCACCGAAACAGTGTTCATTGTGCCTGTTAGGTAGGTTTTTGCCCCTTCTGACCTCTCCCTCTCTGCTGCTTGATTTCCAATGAGTTTTACTTCCCTCTGTGCACATGTATGCCCATTGGTTAGCTCCTATTTAATAGAGAGTCCATGTGGTGAAATTCAAACTTCTTAACCTGGCAATTTGAGATCCTTTAAGATTTCACATTAGTACACTTTTCCAATCTTATCTTTTATATATTATATATATATATATTATTTTTTTTTTTGAGACAGAGTCTTACTTTGTTGCCCAGGCTAGAGTGAGTGCTGTGACATCAGCCTAGCTCACAGGAACCTCAAACTCCTGGGCTCTCCTGTTGCCTCAGCCTCCCGAGCAGCTGGGACTACAGGCATGCGCCACCATGCCCGGCTAACTTTTTCTATATGTATCAGTTGGCCAATTAATTTATTTTTATTTATAGTAGAGACAGGGTCTCACTCTTGCTCTGGCTGATTTTGAACTCCTGACCTCGAGCAATCCGCCCACCTCGGCCTCCCAGAGTGCTAGGATTACAGGCGTGAGCCACCGCATCAGGCCCCAATCTCATCTTTTATGATACCTCTCTTAATTTACTCACAAATTCTCTCCCACTACAGAACCTCTGTACCCACTAGGTACAACATTTTCCTACTGTCTTCCTAGTCAGCTCCTGTTTTTCTTTCAGAGTGCACCTGAGTTGTCTAGGTCAGTTTTCTTTGATACAGTCTTTCTTAGAGGTTTGGGGTTTTTTTGCATTTCTTGAGAATACTGGTTTTGGTTTGCTTTCTGAATGCTCTGATTACTCTGTAGAGGGGGGTGGGATGGGGATTGAAGAGACAGTGGTTACTGCAATATAATGACAACATTCTTCTAGTAGTGAAATTTTCTCCAGAGAACCAAAGTTCATTGAACAAGAAAGAGATACTCTAAACCAGGTGTCCTCAAACTACAGCCCTCAGGTCACATGAGGGTATTTTTGCCCGTTTGTTTTTTACTTCAAAATAAGATATGTGCAGTGTGCATAGGAATTTGTTCACAGTTTTTTAAAAACTATAATCCGGCCCTCCAACGGTCTGAGGGACAGTGAACTGGCCCCCTGTTTAAAAAGTCTGAGGACCCCTGCAAACTGAAGCTTGTTTAGCACCATCAGTGGCCAAAGAAGAGTAGTTGAAGAGACTGGCAGGTGACTAGCAAATGCTGTGGTTAGCAAACCCAAGCTGATCATAGCCCTTTACAGTGATCTAAGTCTTGTGGCTAAGAAATTGCCATGAATGATCTTTTGATGTCAAATTGAAAATACTCATATCTAAGTGGGATGAAAGTTTCTGAGAAAATAATCAAAATACAACTGGAAAATGCCATATCACGAACTTGGTGTCAGGATGACTTTACAGTTCTTTATAGCTGTAAACCATTTAGTGTTCTTCAATAATAGCTGAGAAAAGGCATGCAATTTTCTTTGGCAAAAAAACCAAAAAAAAAAAGCTCCTTGTTTAAACACTGGGAAAAGGTTTGTATGGGTTCAAAAAGAGTGGCAAAGATACTGTCTTTTGCTATCATTGATTGGCCTGTTTTCAACTTTTATGTCCAAAAGAAACAAATGTGGATGGTAGTAGTTAAAAGACCGAAGTGAACAAGTTCAGTGCTTTTGAAGATATTATTGCTACACTATCCTCCCCTATTTGAAATGTGTGTTGGGAGATAGAGACCACTCAACTCAGTGAGTCACTTCTACTTCCTAGCCAGAACAATTCAATTTTTTTGTGTAAAACAGGAACTAAAGCCTGCCCTTCACCACATCATTCCACCTCGGAATCCCCCGGGGGGTCAGCTCTGACATTTAACAGCTCACAAATTCAATTTCTTAACTGATGAATCAGCCAACTTAATGCTTTTACAAATGAATGCTAGGTTCTTGTAAATTTTCTTTTTCAACATTTTAAGTAATATATAAAATGTGTTGTCAGTTCAACTGCCAGCCTGAATAAAATGACACATGCCTCTTTATCATGGTGGAGATAGCATTTAGGAACCAGCTATGGGGGAAATAAGGAAAAGGTAAAAAAAATCCCCCATTCCCCATTTCTCCTCCATGCACAGACCCTCCTCTTCCTCCCCCAATGAAAGAAAGTAAGGGAAGAGAAACCCCAATAAATGCAGCCCAGAAACATAGATGTTTGGTCTGTCTAGTCACTACTGCTGGCTGGCTGAAGAAGGTTCTAGTCTTAGGGGTTAATTGCACTGTCCCATCAGTTACTGAAACAGTTAATGCATTTTGCAAATTTGCCGCTTCTTTATTGCTAGCAGCTGAGCAGCGGTTTTTCCTCCTCCTCCTTTCAATTGTTATTGATGTCTTGCCATATTTTGCATACAATCCCCTAAACAGCATTAGCTCATTTTTACTCCAGTCTTGCAGATTAGCTCATCTGGGTTATGCTCTTTGGTGTGTTGGTGTTGAGTGGTGAATATGTCTTAATTTTTTATCTTCAAGGCTTTCTCAACCATAAGAAGTACTGAATGAGTTTAATTATCTTTTCATCATGTGTTTGAGCTGCACATGAGAAGAGACTCGCATACTTTCATTTCTTCCTTTGCTGGTATCTATAGCAGGTGGATTTATGTGAAAAGAGAGAGTTCTAGATTATTTTCCTATTTCTCAATTGCTTCTGAAGCCCATCCTCTTCCTGGACTGTATGTTTGACATAATCGTAAGGTAGATTCTGTTTCCATGCAGTTTCATATAACAAAGGCTTCTGCTCCTTCACTTGAAAACAAACTGCTTTTCCTCTTTTGAAGATATTTTCATTTACACTTTATGCAAATATACTGTCTGTGCTTTCTACTCAGGACTCAGAAATGGGTTTTAAAGAGAACCAAATTTGCTTCAAATATTGATGAATTAACCCCAAGAACATGGGAACATTGCTATTTCCTACTCCCAGCCCTTATCAGATGCATACGATGTTCATTCAGTGTAATAGCAAATGTAGTTACTGCTCTTTTTCCCCACTTAGCCCAATTAAAGATCTCAGAATAAACACATGCAAAAAGAGCTTGTGCCATCCTGTTTCTGAGCTTTTTCTTTTAGATAGTTGAAGCACCATCTCCATCTATCTCTATCTCTATCTCTATCTCTATCTCTATCTCTATCTCTATCTCTATCTCTATCTCTATCTCTCTCTGCTTCTGTCTCTGTCTCTGCGTCTAGGTCTATATCATCATCCATCTATCCGCCTACAGTATGCAGGTAAAAGCCTTCATGGTTTACTAGCTATCTGTAAGGGACTGGGCGAAAAAGATGAGAAGGACTCAGTCCCTCCAGGACTCAGAAGTCTATAGCAAAGGGCAAGGGGAAAACAAGTTTAAGAACATACATTTCAGTTAAAAGCAGTACTAGGCGAGTGGGAATAAACAAAGTGATATGAAAGCTGACAGGAAAGACTGATTAGCTCTGTTTGTGAATTTGGGAAGATTTCACAGAGTGAGGGTGAAACCTCCTGACAGATGAGTAGGAGTTTGCAAAACAGGAGTGGGGGTGGTGGTATTAGAGGCAGAGAGAACAGTATGTGCGAAGACGTACTTAGTTAAATGTTGGGTGCATTTGGGGAATGGTGGGGCCGGAGTTGGGCCAGTGTGGCTGGAGTTTGGGTTGTGTGGGAAGGAATGGCAGAAGCCCAGGCTACAGGGATGGAAAAGACCCATTACCTCATGGTTCCTTTCCTCCATCTCTTCCTTCTCTATCTCAAAGCCAAAGCGTCCATGATGTTCTCATCCATGGCAGACTCAAGAAAATGGATTTAATCTCTTTGAACTAAAAGAAAGGAGGTCAAGAGTGGAGACAGGGCTAGAAGCCAGGTCACAACCTTTCTTCACAATAGCCAAAAACACTTTGGTTTTACATGTGAATGTCTGTGTGCTTTTTAAATTTGAGTTGCTCAATGTTTAGGTAATGTTCTATTTTTAATCTATTTGCTAAAGTCAGCCATTTCTCATCCTCAAATCTATTTCTCTAGATCTACAAAAAGGATAAAATGTCCCTTGAGTGCTGTCATGAAATTGCAATTGACTTCTTATTTGAGATTCAGAGCTGGCTTTGAAATGAGTGATGAAAAACAAATTGTTTATCGGGTCTTTCCTTGTCCCCCCACACACAGTCAAAACATTTTTCTCTCCCCTAGAGCAAACAAGTTCTATTATAACTCCACTAAGGGATGATTTTATTTCTTATTCCATTTGGCCCAAGCATGACTGCATGCCTTTTAATTATGAAAAGTATTGCTTTGCAGTGATGGCAGTAGAAGTTACATAATGGTAACTCCAGATAATACCCACTAGATTTGTTATTTAGGAAAGCTTCAAAATTGTGCTGCAAGAGACAGCAATTGTTAGTTCATGAGATTCTTTTACCAAGGGCACTAAAAATTTTAAAGAGCTAAATGCATATTTTTTCCCATTTGCAGATGCTAAGTGAACCATTGAACAAGTATTGTGGTTTACAAGACATCAAAAAATGAAGGCCAAGTTACCCTTGAGAATTAAGTTCAAAGCCACGTCTAGAGTTAAAAGGTGTCATAGTGTCCCAAGAATCATTTAGTGATCTGTATTGAAACAAGAAACGGAATTTTTTGAATTTGAAAAGGCTGGTTGAAATGGCAAAAGTGGATCAAATATACATTACATGAAGTCTTCTGCATGTGGCATGACATAAAATGCCTATTACAAAGCAATTCCAGGTAAATATGATAATAATTAAAATATAACAAAAAGTTGGAAATATAAAGCAGAATATAGCTTTTAGTCAAAAATATTTTTATTTAACCTTAATTCTTCTTAAACATTTTAAAACATTGATATAATTTTTTACAAATATAACTTTTAAAGTGTTCTCATTCATGATCTTATATAAAATTTGACATGAAACTAATTTTTACATCTAGATGATGATATAAACATCAAAATTATTTTTTTCACGATGTGTAGATGTGTAATAGCCTATTTAAAAAATATTGCGATGTACAAAGTACAATTCATCATTATTAGTATTCAGACACAAGTTATATTGTACTCTGGGATTATGTTTTAGTTATATCTCTTTGTTCTTTTTTCCTTAGTGATTTTATATGATGACATAATCAAAACAAGAAAGAAGCAAAACATAATAGATTCATTCATTGTGAGTCCCTTATAAAGAGCGTGAGGTTTAATGTAAGCTATGTGTGTGTGTGTGTGTGTGTGTGTGTGTGTGTGTGTGTGTAATGGTTTAAAATTTAGGCAACAATCATTTTGTGCCAGGCATTTTGTCAGTTGCAAACATCCTCTATAAGCCTTAATACAACTCTAGGAGATGGGCAACATTAACAGCGTATTTCAGAGGAGAAGAAAAATGAGGCAGAGAAAGTTTTAAGCAATAAGCTTAAGTTCAAAGAGTCAATAAGCAGCAAAGCGTGGATCTGATTCATCTGTTGAAGCTTTCTTATGCCCAAGCTCTTCATCACTACTATGTATTACCTTGCTGCCATTGAGTGAGTGGCTGTGTAAATCCTCAGTTGACACACAAAGTCGTCCTGATATATTTTTCATTTTAAAACAAAAATGGGCAATTGTTCAATGAGTTATTCACAGTATAAACTAGTGTAATAATAAACTAAGAAACATTCAAATTAATGGTCTACAAATAGAGCAATTTTCTATCCTTTATTATTTCCTTAAAGAAAAGTAAACACTATCTTCACAGTTTCTTTTAAGAAATTGTCAATCCATGAGTTGTCTTTCTTTTCTTTTTTTAATTTACCTTATTAAAGTCATTCTTCCTATCATTTGAATATATTTCCTTTTCCTTGCATCTTTTTAGCCAAGGAAGCCAGTAATAAATGCTACCTACTCTCTATTCTACATGACTTCATTTTCATTCCGGAGTCATTGTTTCATACTTGTTCTGAAATTCCGAGTTCTATCATCAGTTTTGAAAGAGAGGCAGTCATGAGATAAAAAGAGTTGTATAAGCTCTTCAAAATATAACCTGGAGAATGAAGGGTTTGAGCTGGTTAGCCACCTGATTCATACATCAGAACTACAAAACAATAACTTTTGTTGAAAACCTCTTTAAAATAGATTCCATATTTCCCTACATTCAGAAAGATAATATTTTGAGCATAATTATTCATGTTCTTGACTCAGAGCCATTGCAGTAATGTTATAATAGCATGACATTATCAGAGGGAGACTATTTCTCATGCTTTGATTGTCCTAGGTTTTGTACTTTTTAAATTTCAGTGTCTCCATTTTACTGTGTTTCTCTGTTGCTGTCACTGAGTACTAAAAAGATGAATAATCCAATCATCACTTCCCAAAGCCCTACTTAGCTATTTTAGCTGCTTATGCGTCAACAGATTATTGGGAAAGAAAGGAATTAACTCTTAATAAGTACCTCTGGTGTACTAGGTACTGTGTTAGATGCATAACGTGTTATTTCGTATAGTCCTAATTACCCATTTGTGAAGTAGGAGTTATTGGCTCTGATTTTCAGGTGAACAAACGGAGGTTCAGGTGGACAGGTAACCTGTATATGCTAATTTATGAGCCTGCAAGAATGGTGTCCAAAGCAAATGCATACATAGTTCTCCTATGTGCATAGTACATGAGCACCACTAATTTGCTCCAGACCTTTATTTCATATTCTTCATGCTTCACCTGCTATTTCCCAGATGGTTGATGTTGGCCCATGCAGGTATTTCTCCATAATGTGGTACATGCAACTTCCCAAACAACCTCTTATTCTATGAAATTGCTCCTTTTTGTGAGAAAGTAGGGGTGGGGCAGCCAAAACCTATCTACCTTTGTAAACAGATGACTAACAAAAACAATAATAATACTAAGAAAACATAAGCAAAGTTTACAAGTACCTTGAATTTATATTAAATAAATTCCAGGGAAAATATTGGGCTTTAGAAACAAGGTAAAAGGGAGCTGGATGAAAGTAACACAAAGGAAGAGAGTGCATGGAAGAGGGGTGCTGAGTTATAGAGACAAGAGTCAGATGCAGAAAACCCGGGAGAGCCACCCAGTAAGCACAGAGCATGTGGGCGAAACTGAGCCAGGAAGAAGAACATGGAATGCCTGGACATGAGTGACCGTGTCATATTCCTCCAAGCTTGGCTGCAATCAGTGGGTTTGGTATACTTTGCATTGATTCTGTGACTACTTGGCACGATGTATTAACATGCTAGGAAAAAAATTATATATGAATAGCAATACTTCCCCAGTATCCTGATATCATTCTCTTACTTCCCAATAGTCTTTTACAAATTTATGTATCAGAAACATTTATTGTCCTAGAGCAGACTGTACTGCCCTTATAAGTGAATGATATAGTATTGTCTTTTCATTGCTTTTTAATAAAATATCTGGTAGTATGACTATATGATCACCAAAAATGTAAAAAAGGCAATGCATTGGGAGAGAAAACCAAGAAGTCCTTTAAGTTGACAAAATATATGTTTTTTTTCAAACAATAGTTGGTATTGATACTGTTTTGCTCCAAAGGGTTGACTTTTAAGAGTATTCTTGGGGTATTGGAAATAAAAATCATGTGCACTACCTATGGATGTTCCTGGGGTTTTCAGCAGGGTATAGAAATCAGTGGGTAACATGGGCTTTGATGAGAGGATTGAGCTCAACTAGTGCCATTACAGAAGAAACTCTGTGCTGGGCTCCGTCATTCTCTAAGCCTTTACCGAATGTCCATTGTGTTGAAGGATCCTCTTCATTGACTTCAAATCTTGCTGTTGCCCCATGTTCTAATCATGTTGGCACCATATTTTAGTGGAGATCAAATGGACCACATAGAGTGGGACCTACATAGAGTGGGTCCTACAATGTCAATAGTAAGAGTATGGCTAGATATTTATTTTAGACTATGTGATTTTAGGGAAGTGATTTTATTTTTCCAAGCCTTACTTTCTTCAACTACAATATGGGGAATAATTATTCCCTATAACCTTCCATAATTATACCAAGGTTAATTTGTAAAAATAGATGTAAAGTGCTTAATGAAAAAGATTCACAACTAAAACTTACTCAGTAAAAGATGGCAGTGGTGATTACTGCTACCACTACTAGAGTTGCTGATTATTACATAGATTTTGATATATTACCTGTCAAATAATGTGACTTCTATTGGAGCCACACCCCCTGGGCCCTGCTATGTATATCATGTTTAGTGAAAGCAGAATTATTCAACTAGTTTATAAGACCCACATCATAAACTTATTTCAACAAATTTATTGAAAGAATTGCCAGGAATTTTTGCTAAAGGCTGCATAGAGAATAATAAAACCTGTTTCCTATTCTCAAGGAGCTGACTAATGAGTGGCAATACTGTGTAGAAACTGATGCTATAGAATAGCAAAGTGAACGTGGTAGAAAAAGCATGAATTATGGTAGTTGAACAATCTGGGTTCAAAAATCTGCTCCATGCCGGGCACGGTGGCTCACAGCTATAATTCTAGCACTCTGGGAGGCCAAGGCAGGAGGATCACTTGAGGTCACTTGAGGATAACTTGAGTTCGAGATCAGCTTGAGCAAGAGCAAGAACCCCATCTCTATTAATAATAGAAAAATTAGCCAGGCATAGTGGCACATGCCTGTAGTCTCAACTGAGACTGAGGCAGACAGATTGCTTGAATCTAGGATTTTGAGGTTGCTGTGAGCTAGGCTGACAACACCACAGCACTCTAGCCCAGATGACAGAGCCAGACTCTGTCTCAAAAAACAAACGAAATGAACAAACAAACAAAAACTAAAAACAAAATAAAAACACTAAAAATCTGCTCCATTATTGTCTCCTGAGGAGTTGACTAACCTCCAGGCCTCAGTTTCTTTATCCCCAGGTAACATAAACTTACCTTTGGAGAATTAAAACTCAAGTATGTAAAAGGTAGGCACTGTTACAATGCCTGGCACATAGTGTCATTCAATGAACAGTGACACCAATTAGCTAAAGGATGCAGTAGATAATTTTAATGGGGAGGGATTACTAAAGAATATTTTTGCAGAAAAGAGGATTCGAATTGGGCCTTTAATGAAAAATCATTCTAGTACCCTCTACCTGGTACGTATTAATATGTTCCTTTTTTTTTTTCAGTAATTGATTTTATACAATTTAGTTATTTAAAAAGTCAAAGGTGATTATATCAGTCAGGTCAAAAATTCAAGGTTGACCTTAAGAAAAAAGTGAAAAGGAAAAAAAAAAATGAAACAAATATGAGCTGTATAAAGAACAAATTTAGGTACTTCTAACCCTAAAAGGCACTTTAGGAGGCCTTAACTCATACAAGCAAGAGCAACTTCCTCTACTCACTGGAAACCACAGGTTCGCCCTGCGCCCCGTGGCTGGGTTAAGAACAGCTGGCCTGGAGGAGGTAGGAGCACAGCTCTGGATCTTGTGGCAAAGAAACAGCACACCACGAGTTTCTGTGATTGATTTCTCCATTTTTTTTTTTTTTTTTTTTTAGGAATGAAAAAAGAGTGTTCTAAGAGAGACTCAAGACTCAACAAGTTGCAATTGGGATTTATTCCCGGTATTACTTGGATTTTCAAGAATTTTTGGAAATCTTGCCTCTCGGCCACAGCTCTCCTCAGCGTTATGAGTTATCTGCCAATTCATTTCAAGCTCTCGAATTTACAGTTAAAAGAGAAATAAAAAAGTCTTTCATTTGTTCCTAAGCTGTTTATTTTGCTTGTAAAACCAATCATACCGTCTACCCAATAAAAAGAGAAATGCATTAAAGTTATAACTCCAGAAAAGTTAACTGTTGAAGCCTGAAATCCACCCCCCTACCCCCCAAGCAAAGCCAGAAGTCATTTTTTTTTTTTTTTTTGAGACAGAGTCTCACTTTGTTGCCTAGGCTAGATAGAGTGAGTGCCGTGGAGTCAGCCTAGCTCACAGCAACCTCAGACTCCTGGCCTCAAGCGATCCTTCTGTCTCAGCCTCCCGAGTAGCTGGGACTACAGGCATGCGCCACTATGCCCGGCTAATTTTTTCTAATATATTAGGTGGCCAATTAGTTCTTTCTATTTATAGTAGAGACGGTCTCGCTTTGCTCAGGCTGGTTTGAACTCCGCCCGCCTCGCCTCCAGAGAGCTGATTACAGGCGTGAGCCACCGCACCCGGCCAGAAGTCATTTTAATGAGACAGAATTTTCTCTTTGAACTTGGGAGGGCATAAGCAACAAACTTGCTGAGAAAATTCTCCCTTTATCCTTCTCTAGAATTCTTCCCTTAGAGAAAGACTGTGGCTGAGTTTGGAATTGGAAGTACTGGTCTTTCAGGCCTAAATAGGCATAAACCTGGTAACAGTCTTCTCTTGCTTGCTTTGTAGCACAGGAAAAACTGGTCCAAGCATGGCATGGTGTGATACGATGTGGGGTGGTGTAGCTTGGTACAGTATGGGATATCACGACATGCGACATTCTGCCACTATCCTGGCCCTGTAGCTTAAACACCTCCTCTTATGATTGCAAGAACACACACACACACACACACACACACACACACACACACACACGCGTGCACACACACATCTCTACATAGCCAGGCTGGACATTTGCAAGTTTGGAATCACAGATACTAAAAATGTTATGAAATGAACATTACCCTTCCCCCCTCCTCACCCCTACCCTCCCACACACCCCTACCCGCTGCCCAGAGCAAGGCTGATAAGGACACTGAGCTGCAAAGTCCTAGCGGAAATGAGGGGAAACAGAAAAACCAAATCTAAAATATGCACCGTCCAATTTATTTCAGACCTACTAAGACCAGCACTGGCCATATGGGATCCTGTTTTGCAAAAACATTTGGATGCAAATCAAGGGTTTTG